TCACTCACTCACTCACTCACACACTCACTCACTCACACACACACACACACACACACACTAACTCGCTCACTCACGCACACACACACACACACACACACACACACACTAGTTAGTGCTGGTCAGCTCACTCATTCAGTAGTACTAGTGCTCACACTCATCAAATCTATATCACTAAGTGTTAAACTGCAGCATTTGTGCTTCAAACATGAATGATTCCCAAGGAAATAAGACTGATTTTGACGTAAGCAAAAATCCCCTATTTTACGTTTATAATCCCAGGTGAACAAAAGTGCACGTCCATAATGTACTTAAAGTGCTAATTTTGTCCTTAATATACTAAAAAATATTCTTTAGTACTTAAGAAACTTAAAATCATCTAAGTGTACTCAACTGTGCTATTTTGGGACACCATGAATATGAACTAAAATGCGCTTTTAACACACTGTCTCTGTATTTAAGAAATGTATTTAGTCACCACTTGTAGTACACTCGAACCCATCTTTCATACACTAGTACACTCAAGTGTACTTACAAGTGGTGACTAAATACATTTTTTAAATAAATAAATCAGGGCTGTAATGTTCTCTCACGTATGAATGTCAGTCGTCTTGGGTTTATACTGACATGTCAGAAACAAACCTTTATGTTTACATGCATGACATCAGAAAGTTGCAGAAGTCATATTTACTGTTCAATGCTCATTATGAACTGAGAACGTTATCTCTGACATCTGCAGATTAATGAATCAACACTGCAAAAAATTTTACTTGTCAAGTAAATGCTTTATGATTCAAGAATGTTTAGATATTTATACTAGAAAACTAGACAAAAATACTAAGAAAATCAATTTTTGCAGTGATCTCAGACGATCAGGAACAGTCCTATTCCTCATGATTTGAGCACTGTAAATCATTGGCTGTAATGTCTGTGTGTGTGTGTGTGTGTGAGACTGACTGAGAGTGTGTGTGTGTGTGTAAGTGTGTGTGACTGAGAGTGTGTGTGCGTGTGTGTCCGTGTGACAGAGTGTGTGTGTGTGTGACTGACTGAGAGTGTGTGTGTGTATGTGACTGACTGACTGAGAGTGTGTGTGTGTGTGTGTGTGTGTGTGTAAGTGTGTGTGACTGAGAGTGTGTGTGTTGTGGTTCTGATCTCCTGTTCTTCTGAGCGATGCTGGAGTGAGTTTGGCCCCGGCCTGTCAATCGGAAGCGCATTAAGAAATGAGTTATGAATAACGAGCATTCGTGCGCTCACACCTCTCACCGCGGCGCACATATCCTGTTTGGAAGATGACCGCCGCTCTCGCGAAAGCGCTCGACATCGAGCCTCTAGTGCTCCAACAGGAAGTGTGGACAGGAAACAGCTGTCCCTGACATCCTCCCTCTGCTGCTCCAGGTGCATCCTGGGTACTCGAGCGGCACAGACACAGCTCTATCTGTCTCTGATGATTGTGTTCTGATGCTGTCGTGAGCTCTGGTGAATCTCGCTGCACGTGACGGATATATTAATCCCTCGCACAGGTGTGAGCAGCGCATGGGTTTCTGCATCTTATCAAACCGCATGATGTGTGACCGGCTCGAGTTCATTTAGTCCACAAACTGACCGAGAGCATCGCTCAGTGAAGAAGCTCAATCGGAGGAATCATTCACGATTGGAGCACAAACACACACTCACTCTAGCACATAGTGCTGGAATACAGGACTGACTTACAGTCTGGACGAGTCAGTGCTAGCTGGAGAAATCAGGCTGCAGATGTTGGGTTCTGCGTGAGTTTGTCGTGAAAGTCTGTTAGTGTGTGATGAGTGACTGGTGTTGTGATATCTGTTGTGTTCCAGCCTTTAGTGCTAAAGCTTTCATCACCAGCCAGCAGTGCCACATCTGAGCATCGCTGACACATACACACACAGTCACTGAACACTCTCTCACACACACACACACACACACACACACACACACACAGTCACTGAACACACACACACACACACACACACTCTTATTGCCCTAAACAATTAAGCCTCACTGATCTGTATCTCTGACACACAATAGTGTTTACATGGATGGAGGAAATGTGTCTCAAACACAAGTGTGTGAGTGTGTGAGTTATGAAGAGACGTTTGTATATAGCACATGAAGTGTGTGTGTGTGTGTTTGATGTAATTCTCTCTCTTGTCCTCTTCATAACCCTCTGTCTGCTGGTCAGATCATTCACACAGATGAAAAGTGATTATCCATGAAACATAAACACACACACACACACACAGAGTAATTTATTGCTGCTTTGTTGTTGCGTGTGTTTAGATGGACAATACAGGCGACTTCTGATTCAAACAATTGCAGTGATTTCTTCCCTGGTGAGGAAACACTCGCTGCTATAATTACCATCAGTTTGACTTTCACACAGAGAGCCTCTGACCCGACGAGGAGCTGACTTACTGAAAACATTTATCTACTCAGTCTTTATGTTTTTGTGATTGTGTGAAACTGTCTGTGATCACAGGCTGGTCTGTTGTTTACATGTGGACTGGGGCTAGTTGTCACACTGGATATATTACAGTGAATTTCTGAATAGACTATAAAGAAACATTGGCTGATATACTGGACTGATGCTGACTCCTGTCTGTGGATGAAGCTCTAAAAGGCCAAAGTTTTGAGTTACTCATGCCACTGCAGATTTAGCCGTTCGTTGTCTAATAAGAGGAGAGTTTCTGAGCTGTGTTTGACCCGATCCATGTAGAGTAAAACCGCTTATATCACACCACTGACAGGACTGGATGTGTGCTGGACTAACAGTCCTCCGTCTCACTCACTTTTGTTTATTAGAGACAATACAAATAATCAGTCACACTTTAGTTTGGGGAACAATTCTCTCTATTGACTAACTATTAACTATGACTTTTGACTAAAACTCCTGATTTGCTGCTTATTAATAGTTAGTAAGATAGTTGTTACGTTTGGGTATGGGGTGGATTAAGGGATCTAAAATATGGTCATGCAGAAAAAGGCATTAATATGTGCTTTATAAGTACTAAACAGCCAATATGCATGCTAGTAAGCATCTAGTTAATAGTGAGAATTGGTCCCTAAAGCATTACAATAAAGTGTTACAATAGTAATCATATCTGAATGTGAGTTAGAGGGAAAATTAATACAAATGATTTGACATAAAAGAGGGCAGATTCACTCTTGAAGCTCTATCGTGTTTCTGACTGAACGCTGTAGACAGTCGTATGTATTTTTAGAAATGGAGCGAAGCATTTCTCAGTGCGGTTAAAACTCATCGTCTTAATTTAACACTGAGGCAAATCTCCACAGACGTGACTGCGAACTGCAGTCGACCGACCGTAACACAGCTGCAAACACACACACGCACACGCACACACACACACACACAAACATTCTCGCACACTCACACTCACACACTCTCACACACACACACACACTCTCGCACACACACACACACACACTCACACGCACACAAACATTCTCGCACACTCACTCACTTACACTCACACACACACACGCACTCTCACACACACACACTAACACTTACATGCGCACACACTCTCGCACACACACACTCTCACACTCACACACACACACTCACACAGGCACACACACACACACTGACTGATGAGGTGAGACCGTATCTGTGATGCTGGACTGATTCTTTGTGTGATTCTGAAAGTGGCTCTTTAAATGTGATTTCAATTGTTTTCAATAATTTTATTATAAAACACACTGGGTTTTATTTCATGCAGTTTTCAGTGTTTATGCGCACAGTCAAAACACAAAGTCTCTGCATCGACACAACAGGTGCGTGAGCACATACAATTGCTCTTACTGCTGTTCTAATGATAATCGATCCAGATTATTCTAAATGCCTAATAATTTGCATAAAAGCACCCAAACTGTGTCTTTCTGTGCAGCCTCAGCTGTCTTCATCTCCAGAGCATCGGCGAGGCTACAGAAGACCTTGTGTGGCTTTGTGCACGCTTTAGGATCTTCAGGTAAATCAGAATGTGCTTTTCACAGCATGCCATCATGTTTTGAACCCCAGCTGTGTTGTCATGTCCTCCTATTTTATTTTATTGAAATTTTTTTTTAAACTTATTTTTGTAAAGGTTACTAGTAAGATCACTGTGAGTATGTGATCTCTGCATACATGTGGTTTCAAATGGTTCTTGTTTTTATAGTAAATTTACAATACATTTTAGTGTTAACTTGCTGATCAATCATGATTTTTATGTGAAAATGTCAGTACTCTGAATTTACACTTGGATGTGTGTGTGTGTGTGTGTGAGAGTGTGTGTGTTTGAGTGAGTGAGTGAGTGTGCGTGTTTACGTGTGCGCATGTGAGTGTGTGTGTGAGTGTGAGTGAGTGAGTGAGTGTGTGTGTGTGTGTGTGTTTGAGTGAGTGAGTTGTGTGTGTTTGTGTGTGCGTGTGTGTGTGTGTCTGTGAGTGTGTGTGTGTTTGCGTGTCCGCGTCCGCGTGTGAGTGTGTGTGTGTGTGTGTGTGTGTGTTGGTCAGTGAATGAGACGCAGTGTGTGTGGAGCAGCGCAGTGAGGCCTGTGATGATGAAGAGGATAAACATCATAGTTCTCCAGAAGAAGAGAATAAATGTTGCTTCACTTTCAGTTTTGTACTTCAGTTTGACTGTGAGAGAAAACTTTTACAATGTTGTTCAATCATGATGTAAGTTGTGCTTCCTTTTGGTTGAGATCCAATACTCTCTCTCTCTCTCTCTCCCCTCTCTCTCTCTCTGTCTCTCTCTCCCCTCTCTCTCTCTGTCTCTCTCTCCCCTCTCTCTCTCTCTCTCTCTCTCTCTCGTCCAATACTAGTTCAGCTCAACTGGTGTCCAGCTGGAGCAGCTTGTCTGTTGGTGATGGGGGCTGATGGAGAGAGAGACAGGCACTCGTGCATCACTTCTACACCAGCGCAGTGCTCCGTCATTCCTGCAGTGAGGTCTCCGCTCCGTGTCTCTGATCTTCACTGAACGCTGGAGAAACTACGGGAAGGAAGCGCGAGGAGGAGAGCGAGGGTGCGATCGCTTCACAGAAGACGACAGAGAAAGTGACCACGAACACGGTGAGTGACCGACGAGATCTCGCACCGCAGCAGACGCTTCTTCAGGAGCAGTGCTGACACTCGGAATAACTTCATGCATTTATTCAGCACTACTGACATGAGAACAAACTCATTTGAGAATCAGAGAGTTCTTGTAAACCGACATGGACATTAAAGACTCGACGACGCTTGAAACATCGGAGGAACGTTTGGAAGAAGCGTGACTGTGAAATGCGTGATGTTTCATGCGAGTGACCATCTGAAAACACCTGGAGCTTCTAGAACCGAGTGTGTGTGTTTTGTTCAGGATCGGACTGGTCGTTGTGAAAAATAAAGCTCATTAAAAACTACAGAAAGAGGAACCTAATGTGAGGAATAACAGCCGATGTTTAAAAGAGGGAAACGTGAAGGAAAGCTTTTGCAGAAGCGTGTGTTGAATCTCTCTTTGTGTCTGTGTGAGGAGTGACTCGTCGATCAATCAGTGACTGATCTCTAGACAGCAGGACGACTGACAGATGATATACGCACCAGTAACAACTAACTCAGAAAGGCCGACACTAACATGAGCTGTTTTGTTTCAGCAGTGGTTGTGTTTTTCGGTCACTGAACTGGAGTGACTCTGGATTCACCTGCAGTGTGAATGCGAATCTTAAATCCCCCGTATACTCACAGCACATTTACAGCATCCCAAGAGCACACCTACATATTACACGCTCGCTGCGGACCAGTGGCAGTTTGACGGTGTTTACAAGCGGAGTGAACTTTTCTGGAACCTTTCTGGTCTGGCAAGAGTTTATTTCAGAAGTTTGAAACAGCTTGCCAAGCCAAACGTTCTGGAAAACCTCTTTTTGTTTCAAATGATGTCACACCAGTTTGTTCTTCATATGCCCCTGGAGCACAAAACCAGTCATAAGGATCAATTTTTTTAAATTGAGATGTATGCATCATCTGAAGCTGAATAAATAAGCTTTCCATTGATGTATGGTTTGTTAGGATAGGACAATATTTGGCCGAGATTGGTTTTGTGGTCCAGGGTCACAGATAGTCTTAAGTGTCCATTTTTCAAAATTAAATAGCTTTCCATTGATGTATGGTTTGTTAGGATAGGACAATATTTGGCCGAGATGCAACTATTTGAAAATCTGCAAAAAATCTAAATATTGAGAAAATCATCTTTAAAGTTGTCCAAATGAAGTTCTTAGCAATGCATATTACTAATCAAACATTAAGTTTTTATATATTTACGGTAGGAGATTTACAAAATATCTTCATGGAACATGATCTTTACTCAATATCCTAATGATTTTTGGCATAAAAGAAAAATGTATAATTTTGACCCATACAATGTATTGTTGGCTATTGCTACAAATATACCCCAGCGACTTAACACTGCTTTTGTGCTGCAGGGACACACATATTTTATAATAGTAATATCATAATATGACTTCAGAGGCTGCTGTCTCGGACTGTTTTGTTGTTTCAGGACCGAACAGACATCTGCAGACCTCCCCATGAGGAGCGATGAGAAGAAGCGATCATCAGTCTCCGGTCATGATGGAGAACGAGCCGCCCATCTCTCCGTCTGTCCTCCAGCCCGTCAGTCCAGCTCGCTCGAGTTCCCCCGATGCTGACGCGGCTCGAGATGCAGAGAGCCGTACGCATGCAGTCGAACCCGAGACGGACCCCCGCCGGAGCCCCCCCGCCGCCTCCTCG